TGAAGTATTGAATGACCTAATTATAAAAGTTCAATGAATTACTTTTTTTGCAAAATTAATAACCATAAATTTTCAAACATATAAACTACTACATTTTATGTAAATATTTTAAATTACCTGAATTAATTCTTTAAAAAAAATTATCTAATTTCTGCTGCTTTTTTTTATTTTCTGATGTTTGTGGGCTTGTCTTTCTTTTGTGGTGAACTTCATAATTGCAGGAAAGGTTGACTTTTATTTTCCTCATTTACAGTTGAAGAAATTTCCTCGAGAACTGCACATGCAGAGGTAGAAGCAGTTTGCTTTTCTGCTAATGTAGAAGGTTTTTCAGAGACTTTTATAGGTGACTCATCTGAAATACATGTTTTTTTAAGTCCTCTTGATATGTTTTCCAACTTCTGTTCATATTCAGTAAGAGATCTTTGTGAATTGGATCAGTCATTGGATTTTTTGAGCCATATTTTTTTCACATGAGGTTTCTTTAGAAGCCATTAAAAATCATATTTAATAGTCTGCACTGCATCTAGGGAATCAATCTTAAGAGAGGTTCTATAGTCAGTGACAAGTGTATCCATTAAGTTGAATGCACTTTCCACTAATGGGCCATGGAAGCAGCTAAGGCAGGCTTTGACCAATTTAGCCAATGTAGGATACTTATAATCATTTGTGAAATCATCTTTTAAATTAAAAACTTTAGACCAATATTTATCAATTGTACACTTGACTTGATTTCCACTTTTCCACTTGGTAATCATCAATGTGTAAGCATTTCTTTTTGACTTTTCATTATCTATATATGGATGATAATTTACCTTACCTCTTAGCTCTGGATCTAATGCTGTAAAACTAAAACTAATTAGATATGAATTTTTAAGGGGTAATTTCTGTTTCATATGCTGTGCTGTATTAGTATAAGCTTTTCATCATCAGAGAAATTTGGAATTCTTTTGCTATTGGATGATTTTTTGATAATTTCTTCAGGAGAGTGGAAGCTTGCTTCTGCACCAGTAAATATTACTTTGCTAGGTAGATGGAATTCTGGATTTGTGACATCAACCTTTAATAAATCATTATAAGATGTGCACTCTATATTTTCTGGCTTCATAAAAAAAGAGAAAAATTTTGCCATCAATTTATAAATACTGGAATGTATTAAATGAAGCATTTTTTTTTTTGTTTCAAATAATTTAATATATGTGTTGAACTCTGGTAATATACTGCTGAATATAATGCCATATGCAATAAAGTTTTGTTTTGCATAACAAATAACCCATTTAGTATTCTTTTTTTTTTTTTCCGAGCTAAAGCATCCTTTGTGAGTTGTTGGGAATGCAAGCAAGAATAATACACCCCTTCAACAATTTTTTTTCTGAGCTGCAGAAATATTTCTTTTATTGTATACAGTTTCAACATAAGAAAAATAATCCCCTTTATCAGTTTTATCCAAGTAGTGAAAATAAAATGCAATAAGAGCATCCCACAGATCTTTGATTCTTTCTAAAACACATAAAATGTTCACCCACCTATGGTCCGGTCTGTTCAAAGGCTTAAGTTTTTTAATGGCAAAGGATTCACAGATTTTGAAAAAAATTTTCTCTTTTACTGCAGCTTTTCATATCAAAATATGCTTGTCCAGCAACATGTCATCAAACAAATCTTCTAAGTATCTATCAAAACATGAAGCAAATTTTTTTGCACAGCAAACATGAAGCAAATTTTTTTGCAATTAGTTATTAGCTGTGTGACATGTGTCACCATCAATATCTAATAAGTGGGGTGCTTTGTTGATCGTAGTCTGGTTTCAACACCCTTTTTTTTTTCCACGCATGGTGTTACATGAGTCCATTAATACACTAATTAAGTTTGCCCATGGAATATTATTATCTTCAATAGTATTAACAACTGCTTTAAAAACAGCTTCTGAATTGCAAGATTCCATCTTTAGAGATGCAAAATGATGAACTACAACTTCATTTTGATTGTTGTCATAAAACTAAAACTGCACCAATATTGCCAGTATACTTTCTTGAGCATTGCTAGTACTTTCATCCAAATTTAGAGAAAATGGAGTCTCCTTTAAAGTTTTAATGATATTTTCCTTAATAGTTTTTGCGAGCCCATATTTCATCTTATAACATGCAGTAGTCCTGGACATTTTCCAACGAGTTTAGTGCCGTCTGATCGCGGCTCAACTGTTTGCAGAGTTCAATTAAATTGGGAGCTACATTGAAAGAAAGAGAATTCTCGGCGATAAACGAAGTTATTAATACCTCTTGGCGTGCTTTTCTTGTCACTATATCCAATGGCCGAGCATCAGTCTCCAGTAAGTCATCAGTATTTTTTGAATTAGCATAATTACTTAAAGTCATTGAATGTCTAATGCACTTTGAATATTTTATGTGCGTCACAGTTTTAGAATGATTTGTGAAAGCCTTGAATCCTTCCCCACCATACTTCAGCAGTGAGTTACAAAAAACACAATATGCTTGTCCAGCAACATTTATTTTCTTGCACCATGTGCCGATGGTATCCCCATTACCATCTCTCCGTTCAATCCAATTCCACCTAAATGCATTCCGGACACCTTCTTCTAATTGTATAATATCACTATTTATATCGAGAAATTTCATAGTGAAATTCTCTTGCGTACATAAATAAAAAAATATTTCAATAAACGAAACGAAAAATTTACACGTGCATCAATAAATGAAACGAAAATTTTACACAGCGGAGAAAAAAAGTTGAGAAGCGATCAATGACAAATAGCTAATACGGCAAAAAATCCCCCTTCTCTACTTATTGGCGCCACGCCAGGAGAGATAAGACCTTTGAACCCAGAGTCACGTGATCGCACATCTGGCCGAAAGAAGTCTCTCCCTTTTTTTCTGCCGCGCCTACTTGCCGAAAAGAATCCAGAAGAGAATGTCCGAGAACCGGGGGAATGAGTCATAACTCGCAATAAGGAAAGAACAAAAAAGAAGTTTTTCCCCCCTTTTCACGCATTATCATTATCACTGCCTTTGGAGAAAGAAAGGAAAAATTTTCACCACACACACTGACCTTGCGTTTTCTGCTTTCAAAGCAAACAAAATTACCCAGATCAAAATAAATAATTCATTATTATTCCTACTTCCTTTTGAACAACGATCCCCGGAATTTCCGGGTATCAAAGCTCAAAATCCCCGGAATTCCGGGGTTTCCCAGGAGCACAAACTCCCTGGTCAGGGCACATGACTGCCAAGACTTATGTGAACATTTTGGCCGATCAAGTTCATCCCATGGTACGAACTTTGTTCCCCGATGGTGATGGTGTCTTCCAAGACGACAAAGCCCCCTGTTCACACACAACTCACATTGTCCAGGACTGGTTTTCTGAGCACGAGGATGAGTTGTCCCATCTCCCCTGGCCACCACACCTGAATATTATCGAACCTTTGTGGTCTACATTGGAACGGAAAGTGCTTTCTCGTCATCCACCGCCAACATCATTATCTGAACTTGCCACCGTTTTGCAGGAAGAATGGTATAATATTCCCTTGGCAAACATACAGGAACTGTATTTATCCATTCCGAGAAGACTGCAAGCTGTTTTGGGTGCCAACGGGTTTCCTACACCATATTAAGCAAAGAAACATGTTTTTTTAAAGGTGTTTCCATATTTTTGTCCAACCCATGTATATGTTATACTACTGAATAAGATTTGAAATATATCATCATTGCAGAAGTATTTGTCTTGCCAGTACCTCTTTGTTCTAGTGCATTGGCAAGAAACATACAATTTTCAACCTTGCTACAAAACAGATGTTAATTGATATATGCTATAGTTTGCTACTTAAGAATAGGTACTTCATGGCTATTTTGCCCTCCCCAAACCATGCTAACAATTATTCCTGCGGAAAAAACTTCCTTTAATTCGCTAAAAATCCATCAATTCCATTCTATCCATTATGACAACATAATTTACAATCATAAATAAGAGGATGGTTGCTACAACTCTGAAGACTCCATTTTACAAAAGCCAAAAACTACTACATGAATTGCCTGGTCCCTCTTTCACATACTCTAGAATGTTCTGTATAAGGGTTTGAGTTTTTATTTGGCACTTGAACCAAGGAGTATTTGTCACTGTGGCAGATGCCAATGAATATCCACTTCTTCAATAATAGTCTCCTTGCATTATTCTTCCATTTTATGAAGATGAATTCATAGATTTCTAATACTTCTTTTGGAGCCTCCTCTTTTAATGGATGAATGTCTCAACAGGGCTTTTGTAAATATTGAACTTGCTATTGATAACCACTGGTTTCCTGGCAAGGGCTAAAACACATTAATTTTAATTTCTTGCTAAAGTCTACAAAAATACTGCTATCCAGCTATCCTTTTTATGTGTTCTAAGTGAATTGCCAAGTTTCAGAAATTCTGCACAAAATGATTTTTTTAAACTATAGATTATTAGATAAGCATCTCTCTTAGCATCATTTATATTTGAACTTTAAATAGTTTGCAGAAATAAAATTATAGTTTATGATGAAAAGCCAGTTTGGCCATACACGTTATAAAACTAAAATGTATGCACAAGTGATCATTTTCAACATACATTCAATTTTTATTTAATGTTATTTTCAAATGACTAAAAACTGCTGTCTGAAATTTAAAAAAAAAAATGTGTGTTTATGATAGAGCTGCACATATACTTTGTCAACAGCAAATACATTTTTGCCCTGCAGTCTCATATAACAGATAATTCTACCATTAAAAAAAAATCTATTTGTCAGCAGCTGGATAGAAAGAGTATAAAGACAAAAGATTTCTTTCATTTCGAAATTTTTCTTTCTTCCTTCTTCACCTACAGATCAAGATATATCTGCAATAAGAAGGCAAATAAATTTATTACAATTAGAACAGATTCCGCTTTCCAAGTTAGACACTTACAAATTTCCAATCATACATAGATTCACACTTCTGATTTTGCTGTAATAAAATAAACATACAATTCTATATTTCTTGAAACTTATATGAATTAGTTGTTTTATTCTGAAAAATCTTACGACATTTAAAACATAAAAAGACTGTACCAATAACAGTTTTATTTTAGTAACTTATCAGAACATTTACATTTAAGCTTTTTTTGCTGGCTTTCCTCTGAATCTTTTTGGTCTTGGTTTAGGTGGATTTTTTCTATCTTTGCTTTTTAATCTGAAGTATTCACCATTAATAAGGCGGTTTGCCTGTAACAAAACAAACAATAAATTGATCTCTTAATATATTTTGAAAGATAATATCTTTAGATGTTATTTTAAAGTTGTACAATTTAAATCAATAATACAATAATTTTTCAAAAACTTCAAATACTCAATATGTCCTGCTTTACATAATGGGTTAAAAAAATATTGGCAATTGCCTATAATTGATCATATTAGCTAATAAAAGACATACTTGACAATTTTACCTCGACATAAGGAATATACGAGGTAATAAACACACAAATCTAATGAAACTTTAATTTTAATACAGTCAAAAGTCGTTAATTCGGACACCCATAATCCGGAATGATCTATAATCCGGACCTAAAAGTTAAACTTTCCGCGCATTCGTCACGCTGACGCACAAGACCTTTACGGCTGCGAATATGCGTGTGCGCAAAATACGTTTACGAATGCACGTTTAATGTATAGCGGACGGTATAAGCTAAGGTAAAACTATCTAATTCAGTTAATGTTGCAGATTGCGTTGTACCTTAATCTTCGAACTGGATTTGGCTTATTATTTTTTGCACACTGTTAGAGCAATTTTATAAAAGTGAGCTTGAACTTTCGATTATGTCAAATAGAATTTCTGATATATATTTACTAATATGTAAAGGATCTACAAAGCGAAAGTATGTTTCGAAGTCCATTAAGCAAAAAGTGGAATTGCTGCAAAAAATGGATAACGGCATATCCTTCGTTTATCTAAACTTTGTTTATCTTTAACGCTGCGGCACGCAATGAATTGGACGTTGATCTGTCAGCACTATCCTTATCTTCAGGGCAGATGTTTTTATTTTATTGGCTTATAATTCCTTACTAAATGCAGTATTTCATCTCGATGTACTTCGTCTTTGATATGATTTAAATCAAATTCCTCGTCATTAGAATTCGCTTCCGACAGCGAAGAAAGTGACAGAGGTTATTGAAAACGAAAAAATTTCGATTGACAAATTAGTCGGTATTCTCGACACAGCAATTATAGGACTTGAAACAGCTGAACTTTGTAAACTGAACAAGAAATTATGTCTGTTTTTAGAATTAAAGAGAATGTATTATCACATCACATAAAAAACGAAGCAAACTTAAACAACTTACATTGAAAGAAATGTTTAATAAAGTAAATTACGGTTTCATATTTTTTAATTTTATAATTTCTGCATGCCATCTTACCAGATTTAAACTGATGATCTATAATCTGGAATCGCCGAAGTCCCGGTTTCCCGACGAGTCCGGATTAACGACTTTTGACTGTATAACTTTTTTACACAAAATATACAACAAAGACGTAAACTGGCATGTCAAAAAAGCACTGGCAAAATTCTAACTTACATGCAGATTCTGTTAGGGTTGGGGTCATATGTTTATACTGATAAGAAATCCTATTAGTATAAAGTCTACAGTGTTACTTACATTACTTCAAATTTTTTTAAAAAAACCATTATTTTGCTAATACTGTGATAAAGGCTTGAAAGTCAAAGGTGTTGGATGTTGAAATTCTTATTATTCAGCTCAGAAGAGGGTTTAACTTATCATGCTATAGGAATACAACCAGCGCTTAAATTTCACCGGAGCCCAGCTCCGGTACTTCTCAATTTTGAGATAAATTACAATTTTAGCTGGAGCGCACCGGAGCCCTAAATGAGATGAGCTCCGGTACTTCTTTTTATAAAACTTAACCACAATTTCAAGGGGAAAAATTTAGAATTCCTAACGTTTTAGTTTAACAATAAGCAGACCTTGCAATACTCTATTTCCCTAGAAATACGAATTCACGAGAACATGAGACGTTCAAGTAAAGTCCCCTCACTCACATGCCGAAACCTTGCCGAGGGGCAATAAATTTGGGGGGAGTTTGTTTAGGAATGCGTAAATTTCTCTCACTGCCATCGTATCTAGTGTATTGTTATCGATGCTTACAGTTAGTTATCCTCGCAGGAGGAAAAATTTGTATTCTTAAATGTGCATTAAGTGACAGCAAGTGAAATACTGAGATAATCTGCTCAGGCACGTTCTGTACATCGTCTTCCCACAGTATTCACTAATGGGGGGAAAGCGAAATCAGCAACTTTACATTCATCCTCCAGGAGTCAGATTCAGGACTCACATCCCCGACACACATCTACCTGATGGCTGTAATTATATCAGCAGAGAGCCGAGGTCAAAGAGAACGTTCTCTCTCACCAAGATTCCCCTCGTTTTTTGTTTCCACCCACTCATAACCTTATTCTGTTTCACCCTGGAATTTTCATCAGCTATACTAATTTTTGTGATGATAAAAGAACTCCCCCTCTACGATCAGAGTTTAAATTAAAGTGCTTCTTAGTTTTTGCAATAAATCATAATTCTAGCCGGAATGCATCGGAACCCTGAATAAGATTATCTTTAAAATAAACAATAAAATTTTATTAAAAATCGCTTATTAAATTTCAATTTATATCTCTTTACAACACATTTTTATTTAATTTTAAATTATTTAATTACTTCAATATTTAATTATTTCAATAAATAATAATTATCAATTAAATTATAATTAATTATATAATAATTATTGATTAAATAACAATTTTTATAAAACATTAATTACATAGCTATTAATTAATTTGATAATAATTAACTACTTAATTTTAAAATTATTAATAAGTTAAATAGTCATTTTATTTATTTATTTACTCTTGTTTCTATTTGCTGATGGTCTTCCATAGGGCTCCGGCACTTCTAATCTTAGAAATTAAGCCCTGAATACAACTGAACATAAGTAACTGTTAGAAAAAAAGTTCAACACGACAGGATCAAGGGAAACTACGAATAAAAGTGGACAACATCGATTATTTTCTGCAAGGAAAGAATGTTGCATTATCAAAGAGGGTAAGACAAACCCTAAAATAAGTGCACTCCAGTTAGCCAAAGATATTGCTAATGCTTCACATGAAATTTTTAGTGTACAGACTATACAAAATTTTTTACATGAAGGAAGTTATTATGGAAGAGCAATTAGAAAAAAGAAAACTTATTTCTGAAATAAACAGGAAAGATATTAGATTTTGCAAAATCTTATGTTAATTTATCAGACAAGTTTTGGAATACAGTAATTTTCTCCAATGAATCAAAGTTTAACATATATGCTAGTGATTCATGAGAATAGGTGTGGAGAAAGCCAAACACCGAACTGGAAAAACAACATTTAACACTGACTGTGAAACATAGTGGAGGAAGCATTGTAGTTTGTGGCTGTATGGCAGCCCTCAGCCCCCCAAATGAGGTTGGTAACATGTGCTTCATTTGATGGTATTATTGACAGCATGTACTTGCATTGATATACTGCACCATAATTTGTAATTCAGTCCCCAAAAACTTGGCTTAGGAACATCATTCATGTTTCAACAGGACAATGATCCTAAACATAATCAAACAAGTTTGTCACCAAAACAGAACTTTTTCTAATTATGCCACAACACAAGCTAACATTGCACTCCCCCCCCAAAAAAAATGTGGACAGAAAATACCATATTTAAACATACCCTTTGATTAAAGTCACTTATCAGTAATAGCAAAATAATTAGAAGAAAGCATGCAACTTCAGAACTTTCTAGGTTACCCATTTGCATGAAGTAAAATATGTTCATAATGAGAATTATCAAAAAGATAAAAACTAACAAAATATTGATTTTTTAATATTAGATCACAGAGATTAAAAATTTTCTTTTTTAAAAAATGTTATAATAAATGAAATGAAAAAAATTCATTTCATTAATCATTAGAAAAAAACTAACTTCTCATAATCATGCCAATTCTTCGTTCATACAAATTGTGCAATGCAGTGAGCAAAGTAAAAAAATTTTTTAACTCTGAAAGAATTGCATTTGCTATTATTTCTATTAAATTTATCAAAACCTTTTGTTTAAGCTAGTAAAATATGTAATTTTGTCTCTGCTTACTTAGCAATCAAAATTATACGAAAAGAATAAATTATTTCTAAAAAATAAATACATACCGCTTGCTTTGCTTTGTACACTTTAAATCGATCAAAGTCATTCATTTTCGTTTTCTGGAGGAAGGGAAAAAAATTATAAAAAAAGGAGAAATATATCTAATGAATAAATGCATTACAAATTTAATTATCATTATTGCAATATAACACAATTTTCTCATGGATACTCATAATCTGCTTCTTAAAATTTAGTAAATAAAATAAGCATAAAAGATATACATTTGAACCATTCAAAAAAGAAACTGCTTTAAAAAAGAATATTAAATTTTTCAGAAAAGTTCATTTTATAAAATAAATTTGTAACAGTATATCATTAATATTACACTTGTGTTTCAAAATAAAAATTTTTTAAGAATGATTTTGGAATTGGAGAAGTAAGCAATATAATTATGGTACATTTACAGTCTAAATTCCACTGAAGCGTTTTTAACTGCATCCACACTGGTCCAATGAGTGAAGAATGGAAAAAAAAAAGCTTTACGTTTATGTCAATTCACAGCAGGGCGGAAACTTCCACTTTAAAAATTGTCATTAATGCACACTAAAGGGATCTGCATATTGGAAAGTTGGAGGACAACATGAATTTTCATATTGTATTTTGGCTGTTTATGGTTATACTTTTTAATTAACATGGTTCCAATTTCTGCTAGTTGAAAACGTATTTTATGTTTTGTTTTATGTAAGATATGCAGAAAGCAATCGTTTATATTAATATGCAAGAAATGACTGCAGCAAGGAGATGCTAATAAATTAACTGAACAACTTGAACGACGTTGAAATTTCTTTTAATTACTTACGTGGCCTTAGCAATTCGGTGAATTTCTAGCCATCTTTGAACTATTTATCAAAAATCAGAATTTTAGTCACAATACCACAGAAAAGAAGATAACATGATATCCCAGAAAAGGATAGTTTTCTTTATTTATGAATTTTGTTGAATGATAATTATAAATTCGTAATTGCATGTTTCGATTTTAGAGAACAAATTTTTCATGGGGAAAAACAACAAAATTTTTTTTGCATGATGTATAAACTTCCCTTAATATAATTGCTTTAATTAATGTAATAAAAAATTATATTTTATTTAAATGTAAATAGGATTACTAAATATCACATTTGAAAAAAAGGAAGCAATTATTTAAAAAATTTATAACGAATAGAAATTTTGAAAAGTATTTTAAAACATAGTTTCTGCTATATACTCATATTTCTTACCTTAAATGTAACTGTAATTGCTTCAATTAGTCATTCAGATATTAACAAAGAGCTACTGTCTAAAATTTTATTTTAAAAAGTCACTTTTGTCTAAATGAAATAACTGTATTTTATATAATTATTATATGCTCATGCGTCTTCTTTAAATTAATGAAAAATTATCGTCAAGATTAAACCTCTGACTAAGTTCTTAGAAAATTTGTCCCCAAAAGTGCTTGTGCATGTTTAAGAAAATATACATGAAGACATTAACACATTCACTGCCAACCACGAGTTATCTCACACGTGGAAGTTTGTGTTAAGAGCTAATTGGTAGAACGTTTTTGTTTTACCTACACCTATGCCACCAAATTCAAAGCATTTTCATGTTCTTTAAAATATGATAGAAAGGATGCTTTGGGGATTAGAAAAAGCACAACAATTTGGTGCAATTCAACAGATTTATTATATTTAATATAATATAAATAATTATAAAGTAAACAAGTGTCCGCCATTGGATAAAAATAAAATTTTAAAAATCTGAAAGGTTTCACACTTTTGTCCTTTAACATTTTGGGGGCTTTTTTTTTTTTTTTTTACATTTTGTGTGTTACCTTTATTTATTAAACATCATGTTCTTCACACTTAAACCATAAAATTCAGTTCAAGAGCAATATCACAAAATAATTTTAAATTGAACATGTCTTTATAATTTCCGATACACAGTCTCACCGCACTGGAGATAAAAATATTATGCACAATGTTGTCATTGCTCACTTTGAAATCCTTGAATTTGTTAATCAAAAATTCATTAGTTTTACAAAATATTGAATTAATAATAAAACAGATTACAAATTCAAATTAGGGCTTCCACATGCCCATATTCTATGGAAAATTACGTCATTCAAAATTTGATGGCTTAAGGTACCGTTGTTTTTATCACAATGTATATACATTTATGCAGACACTTCATTATTTAATTTCTCCAAATATAATATAGGGCGATAATATTTGGTAGCAACAGTTTGAAAAGTGAAATGGACATTCAGAGTGATTCGAGACAAAATTGCAAAACGAAAACAATCGTTCCTCAAGGGTAAAGTCTCTTTGGACTAATAGCATACAACTGTAAATATGATCAAGCAATTAAATAACCTTTATTATAATAATGATTGTAAAAATAATCTTTGTTTTAAGCAATCGCCTACTACGAATATACTCATTACGAGTATACTAATAGTTGGTGCTGTCATAAAACATTCTATCACATAAACCGACTATGATATAACTTGTATAATCAATAAAGCAATTAAAAATTCAATCTTTCCTATAAATACATGTCTTGTACTTTTATTTTACAATTAACTAATTAAAATTTGTTGGCGTGGTGGAACCGTTTTTGAAAATGTCACTCGGCAGCAAACATATTAAAATTCCTAGAAGTATTCCATGAAATCAGCTACATACTGACAAAGTTCCTTTCTATATAAATAATAATATTTTTTTAAACTAATGGTTTACTCGTGACCAGTTATTAAAAATTAAGAATTCGCTAAATTTTTTAAATTAGGTAAAAGAGCAATTTTACATAACATTCATATCACTTTTGCTAATCTGGCATTAGTTGATACAGAATCAGATCAGTATAGTCAGATCTACTCATTAATTGTATCAAAGGCCCATTATCAAAAGAACAATGCACATAATACCACCTGGGAGGCGAAAATTGCATTTAAAGTCAATAACAATAAATGCAAACGTCTTGTGAGGGAAAAAAAAAGTAAGTTGCAATAGTTAAAAAAAAATTGGTGTATTCACACCATAAAGGAAGGCACGAACCTGCAATTATAAGTTTCTAGCACAGTCTGAATTTCCTACTGTGTTACCTTCATGCTAAGGTGTCTTATGTAGAAAACTGGTTTTCAGATTTCACCTTCAGGAAATTGAATAAGCACCTGTGCGAAAATAACAATACATTTTTCTGTAAATATTTTTTTAATACCAACTCTGTTATAACACCAGCCCTGGTGACACCTTAAATCAACAATCTGAGTCCAGATGCCAAAGTTTTATCCATTATTCAACAGGAGCAATCTTAAATTCACATTCTCGCAACAATCTACTGTTTCAGATTGTGTAAAAATTATCAACAATACATCATTATGGCTGATAATTAAGGTTTATTACTCATAATAAACTTGATAATTCTTGAAATAATTTATTAAGATACTCTGTAACTTAATCATTTTTAATTATCATCTGTAATTTTTATTCAAATATTTTCCTCAAAAAGAATTGGTGAAAGCATATTCATTTAAGAATTGCGGTATAAACTGGACATTTGTAACAAGATATCTGAATCTGACACAGCAAGCTATCAAAAGTTGAAATTGAGTCAATTCGTACGCTCTCCTGTTATCTTGGCCTTTATGCTTTTAAACAATTGATGGCAGAACAATTATACTAATAAAAAGAAGAAACAGCTCACTAGCAGAAAAGCATGTGTTGATGAAATTACATCAAGTGTATATTGAGTAAGAAAAATCAAGATTACAGTAATTCTATTTACTTCTTTTTAAGATAAGTGTATGATCGTTCTTGTAAAGACACCTTTACAAGAAAAAAAAAAGTAAGTTGCAATACTTAAAAAAAAATTGGTGTATTTGTTACGGTGAAACACCGAAATCTGGAGAATGTCGACTTTCACCGGTGAATGTCAACATTCACACAATCTCTTGGTGTATGTCCGAAATATTTTCCAAATACTCTTATTTCTGACTTACAGTGGTCAATGTCGACATTCACCATGTACTAATGGTGAATGTTGAACATATAACAATATTATATTTTCTTTTCCGTAATTCAGTCACGAATAAACGCATTTGAGACTTGAAACTTAAGAACATGAGAACCTAAAACATAAAATACATTCAAAATGACAAAGGAAAATAATAGAAGTTAAAAACTTACTTAATTATACAGTACGTTCTAAATGAGAAAATAAAAAAACTTACTAAATTATGCGATTCAAATCTTATTTATTGCAACAACTTGAACTATTATGGCACTTTATGACCTCTCTTTTCGACTTTCACCAGAGCATAGCTGTATCTGTGACTTGATTGTCGACATACACCGGTGAGGGTCCGAATATACAAGAATGTAGTGCAATATTCGATCTTTCACCAACAAATTTGGTGAATGTTAACATTCTCCGGTGAAAGTGGACATTCTCCAATTTTGGTCTTTTACAGTAACATATTCACACCATAAAGGAAGGCACGAACCTGCAATTATAAATTTCTAGCGCAGTCTGAATTTCGTACTGTGTTACCTCCATGCTAAGGTAAGAAATTCATTTGTGTAAAAATTATCAACAATACATCATTATGGCTGATAATTAAGGTTTATTACTCCTAATAAGCTTGATAATTCTTGAAATAATTTATTAAGATACTCTGTAACTTGTTCATTTTTATTTATCATCTGTAATTTTTATTCAAATATTTTCCTCAAAAAGAATTTGTGAAAGCATATTCATTTAAGAATTGCGGTATAAACTCGACATTTGTAACAAGATATGGCAGAACAATTATACTAATAAAAAGAAGAAACAGCTCACCAGCAAAAAAAGCATGTGTTGATGAAATTACATCAAGTATACATCGAGTAAGAAAAATCAAGATTACAGTAATTCTATTTACTTCTTTTTAAGATAAGTATATGATCATTCTTGTAAAGACATCTCTTTTAGAATTTGTACAAATCTATCCTTAAAAGTTAAAAGTAGCCTTAACAGCAACAGCTTTTCCTCCTATTCAAGTTAGTGTGGAAAGACTATTGTCAGCTCTGAAGTTTATCAA